ATTCAAGGTAATACCAAGATTTTAATATGGTGAAAAAAATGATACCAGTACATACCTATACTGTGGAACTGCCATCGGTTGTAGATTTTCTCAGGCAGAAATTGTAGAATTTTCTGATGAAAAACAGAAACGGTTTAATCAGATTTATTAACTAAGTTACTGTATTAGAATTTGTCAAATTTGAACAATTTTGCAATAACAGTGATAACCGATTATTTTTGAGTAATTTGTTTTCATGAAATTTGCAGGAATAAACAGAAACACACACACACACACACACACGTGTATGTGCTTAAGCCAGCAACTCAAACTGAAGTGTAGACACTATTAATTTTTTTTTTCTGGTTTTCTTAGTTCTCTATTATATTGACTAGATTTGGTCAGACAAAACATGGCACCTGAAAACATCACCTTGGGCCTTGGAAAGTTGTGATGGACATTTTTCTTTCCTGCCATTTTAAAGTTCCAACAATTTACTTATTATAATCTGCACCCAGTAAATAAAACAACCACTGGTCACAATCCAATTTTTAAAACATCGATTCCAATATAAATGAAGAGGGAGACAACAACAGCAGACTTTGCTTTAGTAAGTGACACTGCTTGGCCACAGCAGTATACACTTAAGGAATGCATCTTGCCCTTTCCCTCCACTTGGCCCGGTATGTCTGCAGATCCCTGTACCACAGGACAGCACTGACAAATATCATCACCTCGCCAACAACTGCTTTACAGCTCAATTAGAGTAGCCTAACCTTTCAGCAGCCTATTATTACTCTTGCATGTAGCGACAGGTTAACAGGGTCCCTCTGGAGAGATGAAGGAAGAGACTGGAGGATGGCAGACGTGTGAGCACGTGCACATGTCTAGTTAATAGTCAGTGCACTGCGAGTGAGCAACTGATACCTCAATGGCTCATTTCTCATCAAATCCTAATGGCTGACCCAATAAGACTTCATGATTGCAATGTAGAGGCCAAGCCTGTCCTTTGCTGCTTTTCCTATGCAGCTGTGACCTACTCAACCAGACAACCATCTCTGGTCGGAATGATAAAAAGCTCATCTGCCCTGAGAGTGAGACACGCAGCCAAGAGAAGGACACAGATCATGAGCAAAAAAACGTGCATGAAAGAGCTACACAGATTAAGTCCTCTCCAGTAGCAGATGAAAAGTGCTAGGGCAATGTCTGAATGAGGATAAAAAAAAGACAAAAAGGAAGATGACAGAATGAGAGTAGGGGTCAGAAACTATAGAGCATCATTATTTCTTGGCAATGACAAAGTGACTGTGAAGTAACAGCTTTTATAATGTCAAGGGGTTTTTTTCAACAAGCATTTTCCAATAAGGCTTCTGTATAGTGAAAACGTTACTTACAAAAAGAATGTGGTCATTTTCAAATGATACACCTAGAAACATTTCCAGTCATTTTCACATGACAATGTGTACGTATTTGATTGTTTCTATTGTTTTAGAAAGGCAAATGATCATGTTAACATCATGATCATATTAACACAGTGAATCTACTCTGAAACAGTACATGATGACCCTTTTTACATCATGCTATAAGCTGAGGTGGTCTGGAAGTCAGCCCATGTTTTGAGTGTCTCAGTTTGTCAGCAACTTTCTTCTTCACTTGTCATCCCCTGTCTTCAGCTTTCCCTTCTTGTCCTCAGAGATGAAATGCGTGTCATTATCAGTGACAGGGGAGATAATGAAAGACATATATCGCTCTAGTGGCACGCTGGATCTGTGCCGCTCAACTTCATACTGATCCACAGATATGTTGATGTGCATGTACAGGCATGTGGTTACACCTTGGTATTGATCCCACATGGGATTAGCAAAGGCGCTGTACTGGTCTCCTCCACTCGGTCTCCTTAGCGCAACAGACACATTATGCTAGACGGTAACACAGCAGGGTAGACTGCTTAAGCCTTTCCTTGTGTGTGCGTGTGTGTGTAAACACAATAACACCATCTTTCTTGCTCCTTACAAAGCACCAGGAAGGGAGAGTGGGACCGAAATGGACAAGCTAGTTCAGAGAGAATCCCTGTGGAGGAGGAATGGCGGCTGCAACAATGAGGAATTTGCTGGCTGATATGAGGTGAATGCAGAGTCTGCCGGGCTGGAGGCTGGCGGAGTTACTATAATCTGCAGCCATACTCCAGCATAAAGATGGGGGCATTACTGCAATACAACTGCAGCCTGAACACATTTACATGATCCACACTTAGGTTTCCAGCCGCTGGGC